AGATATAATGAATGAAAATACATAAGCCTCTGTGCATAGACGTATCATGTAATGCTGTACAGTAACGTGTCATTTTATTGTTTTGGTTGTCTTCATTTTATTTGTTTTGTGATGATGCAATGGTGTGTGTGACGTTTTATTCGGGGGACATTTTGGAGGCAGGGTTTGCATGACGTACTGAGAGCTACTAGCTCCACAGTGGAAACTTAACATGATTTCAGCTTAACTGCTCATGCTATTGGCACAGCCCGGCCCGGGTTTGCACTGGCCCGACAGTGGAAATGCGGCTAATGATGTAGAAGCACCTGGGTTCTAGTAGGAATATGGTTTCAGGATTTCACACTACATTTTAAAGTTTATCCTCTATGCTATTCTCCAAACATAGTTAGTTGTTGGTTTGCTTGCCATCTTGTTTCTTTTGTAGTTGATCCATGTTAATTCTGTGTGAATCAAATCTAATAAATCCTAGCAAAATCCGACTAGTCTTGCCTGTGATCTTGTCTGACATCCCTGTTTTCATCGTCCATTCCCACATTCTCTCTATACGTTTCCTTATGGTGGGTGTGATTTTGCCAAGTAAGATGCCATTGTTGATTAACATCTATGTTGATCCTGTAACATCATTCCTGATAGAAAATATAACCAATCCCAAACCCTAACCATAAATAATCTCAAAATCAGAGCGAACAATGATGTAGAAGTACACAACCCTAACTGTAAGCCATTTATCCTTTAAATCAGATTGGCTGATTGGAGTATTGTTCCAGGATCAACATAGATCTAGTAACATGTCCTACTTGGTGAAATCATTTCTTGATATGTCCGTACTGATTGGTCTGCACACTTGTCTCCAGGTACAGAAGAAGAAAACACGAGCACTTCAGCAGTAAACAGCTCAACAGCACAGCCGGACTTGCGTGTGCGGGACAAGGGTGTCACTCTGGAGGACAGTTTTGAAGGATACGCAGCTGAACTTCGCCAGTGCCAGAACAAAATGAGAAACGGCGTTTATCCCTCCACAGAAGCCCCCCGTCCCCTCAGCGGTGTGCTGGAAGTCAACGAGAGCGACACTGTGCAATACAAAGCAACGTTTGTCTGAAAGAAGAAGAAGCTGCTTTCAAAAAGACTGATGATGACAGAGCCAAAATGTGTATGTGGAACAAATTGTGTATATTAATAACGGAAACCTGAGATCCAATATTTTGTACGTTTTGAACTTTTTTGTATTTAATGATGAAAACGAAAAGCTGTTCAGTGTTAGTTTTGGGGACTAACTGCTTATCGGAATATCAGTGCTGGCATGTAAAACGCAGATGTTTGTCTGTAGTTATAGTGGAAGTTAGTGCAACAGTTCATAGTTCACATTCATCCTATTGATTTTTTGCTTTTGCACTGTGATTTTTTTAACTATGTGCAAACATCTAATCTCTTGTTGAACAGACTCAGCTCTAAAAGCCACAAAATGAATTGTTCGTTATTAAAATTTTTTTTTAAAACTATTTGTCATCAATTGTGTCAAGTTTTTGTGTTGGCAATGTTTTTTTCTTTCTGTTTATGTTATTGTTTTTAAAGGTGCAGTATGTATGTTTGACGCTCAATGATTGAACTAGGTATTGCATCCCTGGATCAAAACACATGCAAGAGCAGGTTGCCAGATTGAGGATCAAGGCTGATTTTAAGTAGTGTTCTAAATAAAAAGCAACGGTATGCCATAGAAGAATTATTTTCCATATTAAAAGTTTTTTTGTTCTAACCAAAACCTTGAATTGATGTCTTAGAAACGGCTTCTATTTCTTGTCGCTAAACAACAGAAAACTAACAATAATAACCTTAGGTACACCTCATGTGCTTTATTCAGTGTTGAATGCTAATAATGTGAGTTTGAAGGCCATTTCACATGACATTTATTGCCATATTCTGGAAGCAGCAGCAGGATAGTTCACCTCAAATCTTGAAAATAAAATAAACCATTTTAAATAGAACTTCAGAACTGATTAAGTGAAAGCCAACACATATCAGTGATTCAGCATGTACATTTAATACTGTTAAAAAGGTTTAATGTCTATTGATTAGATTATAAACTTTACCATTTATTTGGAGTGCAGTAAGTGCACTATTCTGTGCTTTTGAATGGCTGTATTTAAATTTCTGTTGTACTTCATCTGGTGCAAACAGTCAAATTGCTTATCACTGCAATTCGCATCACATAGCGTGTTGTTAGGACACGCGGTTACGCTTGTAATGTTTATGCTCGTAATATTTGTACTATTTCCTAATCCTCATGTGGAACTCTGAATTTGCTTCTTATTTCGGAGTCTGCTACTGTCCACCGGAGGTCACATTTTGGTCACGGGCACATGCTTTGAGAGCCTTCCTGACTGAATTAATGAAATACAGTTTTCCACCTAATGCAGATTTTCAAAGCTGAATGTCTGACTTCAGTATTGTTTTTCATAAATATCTGCAAACACATTATGGTATTTCTATGCTTTAGAACTTGCATACAGCACCTTGAACAACGTCATGAAATGTTTTTTTTAGGTTTTCCTTTCAGAAAAACAGCTTAATAGGACTGTGACGCTGCTAATATTCAAATAAGGATGTTAACCCTTATAGTTAACCTTATATTTTTGTTTTTACTTGTAAAACTTAAAGCAAGATAAGTCCGATTTCCATTTACCCACAATGGCTGAAACTTCAAGGGATAATTCACTCCTAAAATTAAGATTTCCATGTCATTTATGCTTTCACTTAAGTTGTTCTAAACATTTATACGTTTCTTTGTTCTGTTGAACACAAAACAAGATACTCTGAAGGATGCTAGAAAAAACGCAGCCACTGATATTCGTAATATTTTTTGTTCCTATTATGGAAATCAACGGCTGCTACTTTTCCATCATCTTTCTTTGTGTTCAACGGAAGCAAAAGAAACTCAGACAGGTTTAGAACAAGTGGAGAATGAGTAAATAATGAATGATTATTGGGGTATATTATCCCCTTTAAGTAATGATATATAAATGATGTCCAAATATCTGCTAAGAATTTTACAAACAATAAAAGAAACATGTTACATATTAAAATGAGCAATTTCTACATAAAAAATGATTTTATATACATGATACAGGTAAAGTGTTTATTGTTTCAAATAACTTTTGTGAAAATAAAATGTAACAGTGTTGGGGTAATGCATTACAAGTAATGCAAGTTATGTAATAATTAGGCATGTGCCGGTATAAGATTCTGATGGTATGATTACCTTGGATAAAAATATCAGTTTCACGGTATTGCAATTACTGCTCTAAAATATGTTCATTTTAAATGTCTGGGTAAAAAACAACAACTTTTTTTCCCCTTTGGTCACAATATGTTTTATTTTGAGAAACACTTAAAATATTTTGGAGTAAACATGTCAGTAAACATGTTCTGCTGTCTTTGTTTGTTTCAAACACCCAAATTTCTTTACAATTTAAAACAGCATCTTTGTATATATCTTCTGTTGGAAATACTGTTGTCCTAAAAAACAACAAAAAAAGGTAAATGTAAAATCTTACACATATCTTAGGAACGGTACAGAAGAACATTTTGGCGGTTTTAAAACCTTGACTTTTCCAAACTGCGATATACCTTGAAAACAGTTATCGTCCCATGCCTAGTAATAATACTACTTTTGTAGGTTAAGTGTAAATGAATGCATCACTTTTCAAATTAATTCAGAATATTTGAGTTTCTTTATAAAGAATGTAATGCGAGTTTCTTTTTAGTTTAGTTGATTTACTTTTATAAAATAAATTGCTGAATTAAAACTAGTGTACTCATGTTGAATCCCGCATGCAATGAGAGAATGAACAGACAGACATGAAGATGGCAGAGCCTTACATTTCTGAGATGGAAATATTCTCATTATTTTGAACACACAGAAGGAAAGGAAAAGAGGATTGTCTGAATGTACAGTGATTTTTACTTTTTAATAGTACAAAAGTAGCAAACACGTTCCTTTAAACTTTCAGTAATCCGTATATATGCCATGTAGAGCGCTGGGATCAAGAGGTTCTCAGAAGATAACATTATCATTAATTTTCTGTGTATTTAAAGGTAAATGAAGGTTATACGGTGTGTTGTTAACTGCAGAGAGCTCTCTTACAAGTTTTGAAAGATCAAGCCTCAGCCATGTAATAAAATGTAACTCAAGAGTAATGTAAAACATTACTTACTGTAAAAAGTATTGAAGTAACGCAACTAGTTTCTTTTTTGGGGAGTAACTCAATATTGTAATGCATTATTTTCTAAAGTAGCATTCCCCAACACTGTTTATTCTTCTAGAAATCATGTGATTTTTCATTTATTTGTTTCATTTTGGTTTATTAAACAAATAAATAAACAAAATAATCTGTATCTCCATTAATAAAACAGGACATATTCTAAGAATGTAAAAAATATTACACTATTATACTTTACTTATTTTGTGGCTTTACCCATGTATAAAATGCTTAGTCTTTGTCACAATTTTTTTTCATTTGACCATAACTTTTTAAAGTCCGTTACAAATAGTCGAGTGCTTTAAGTAGAACAAAGACTATAGAACACATTTAAAGGGACTGAGTAGAATCTGATGGCAACACTGGTGTTTGACTAACTGGCCTTGAACATAAGGTCAAGTCTGGAGTTTAAAACGCGTCTAAAGAGCGACATCTAGAGGCGATTAGCCCAAACAGCTGCTTCAAAACCAGAGCAAACAAAGGGCTTGCGTTTCTAAAATACTTCTTCGTCTTCGTCAACCATACTGTAATAGAGTGTATTATACTGTGTGCGTTATAGTATAATATTTACAGCACGTTGTTAATAAATGCTGAACCAAAGTGTAGTATTAACTAAAGTGAACTGTTGTATACCTTAGTTGTTATTACAGTAAAACTATCTATCTATCTATCTATCTATCTATCTATCTATCTATCTATCTATCTATCTATCTATCTATCTATCTATCTATCTATCTATCTATCTATCTATCTATCTATCGTGCAGACAAAGGATGGCTCAATAGAGGGCGCTGTCTCTATAGTCCACTTCCGAGGCTCCAGGAAGTCGGTCTGGTGCTCTATGGTGTCTGTCTGCTCATCCTTGGTGTCCATCGCGATCAAAACATTGCAGGTCTGCGCTCAGAGTCCGCGCTCTTTAGGATGAGCCGAAAAAGGAACCACTGCTACATGGAAACAGGAGCGTCCTCGGAGTCCCAGGGCGCGTTTGTAGACAGCGCCGGCCCGTTCAGCCGGGACGAGGAGGATTTCTCCGAGCTCGAGCCCGACGAGCAGCTGGTGTGTTCGGTGACCGAGATCACGGAGCATCTGGGCAGGAACATCACGGTGGTGCTGGAGTCCGCGCTGTCCGAGATCCGCAAGCTGGTCGGCGTACGGATCCGCGTCCTGAAGATGGAGCTCCGCGAGAAATCCGACGAGATCGAGCTGCTCAAGGCCAAGCTGGAGTCGGCGGAGAAAGACGGGAGGGTCTCCAACTTCAGCAGCCTGGATTTCAGAAAATCCGAGCACCAGAAATACGGTGCTGAGCCGAAGAAAGCCAAAACCGGGACGCCCGTGGTGAAGAAGGAGAACATCAACGCGATCTGCGACTATCTGATGAAAGATAAGAACCAGCGCGGGGCTGCAGAAGTGGAGAGCGACCACAGCAATCAGGCCTTTGGCTCTGAACGGGACGTCCGGACCGAAGCGCAGCCGCACGGCTCTCTGAGCCTGTGGCCGGACAGCGGACCCGCGGACACCGACGCCGAGACGGACATCTTCAGCATGCTGCCCTCCGCCAGTAAACGCATGTATGATTATGAGTGGATGACAGGAGTGGAACTCAACTCAGCCGAGTTTAAAGGTACCGCTTGATCACGCACATATGCAAACATTATGTTGGTATAATATTACAGACCATTTCGAGGGATGTAAACAAAAACAATGGTCCCAACGTAGTTCCTGTTTTACATATTTACCTTCTATAACTTAAGAAAATCCAAAAAGAGCCACACTTTGATAAATAAAGTTATGATAGCTGTTTTAACAATAAGTTACGATTGAATTGCTTTTTGTCACAGATATGAAATAGTTTGATTACTAGCAGGAAATGTACATGGGCCAATGCCATGACCACATTAAAATGTTCTATACCAGGGGTCACTAATCTTGTTCCTGGGGGTCCGGTGACCTGCAGGGTTTAGCTCCAACTTGCCTCAACATACCTGCCTGGGTGTTTCAAGTATACCTAGTAAGACCTCGATTAGCTTGTTCAGGTGTGTTTGATTAGGGTTGGAGCTAAAATCTGCAGGACACTGGCCCTCCAGGAACAGGTTTAGTGACCCCTGGTCTATACATACATAATATAATATTACATGCAGTATAAAAATATGAATGCATTGTAGCATGTGTAATAGCACCATGAGGGCTTTCTTTGCAACTTGCACACTGTACGGTAGGGCTGCACGATTCTGGCAAAAACGTGAATTACGATTTTTTTTTTTACTTAATCAAGATCACGATTCTTTTTCACTATTCTGTAAATGTAAAATAAAGGTCAATATGATTAGCCTATTATTATTGTTAATTCTCAAACATATGGTAAAACAACAATAATAATAGTAGGCCTATGTGTAGGTCTACTGTTGCTTAAAATGCTAAATATTATATTATAGTGGACTGGAACCATCTTTCCATATGTCCTGTTTGTTAATTCACAGTAAAATGATGACATCAGAATACAACTCATAATTATAAAGTTGAATTATTATGTTTGAGACATGTGCTTGTCATCTGTCATTGGCAACATTATTAGATCATTATATTTCAATTATATATAGGCTAGGGTTGTTATACTGACACAGTAAACATTTATTTTCATGCACAACACTATGTGTTCGCTATAAAGGAAAAAACAGCAAATGCTTGTCGTAATCATAATTCTAAAATGCCATATGATTATTTAAATGTGCACCCAGGTTTCACTTTCACTTCCGAGTGTGGCTCATAGCTGCTGTCACTTTAAGAAAAAAAAAATACACACACATGCAAATCAAACCTCTTGCACGACCCTCAAACGACTGCTCTGTGCAACAAACTGAACGTTATTTACAACTTTATTACCTGTTAGTCATAGCATATGCAAGTTGTGTTCACTAAAGTAGGCATCACTTAATTACTTGCATTCTCGGCAGTAAACAAACAGTGCGTCAGCTCACATGTGATTTCGCGACCGTGAAAACATCATTACATGAAGACAAAAATTACATTTTGGGTGAATTAACCTTATAAATACAGTATGTGCCACTTTTAACGCCATTTAAAGGTGTCAATGTTGCTGTGAAGACTTTTGCAGCCGCCTTTTTTCCTCTCCTGACCTTAAAAAATATAATTGGCTGAATCGTAGAAAAAGCTGAGTTAGGATCGTGTCAAATCGAGATCGTGATCTTTTTTCGACTAATCGTGCAGCCCTATCTGACTGGCTGGTAAAAAAACGATTTTTTGTTCCCATTTGAAAACAATATATTTTAAATTTTGAAAGATTTAAAATATTTTGCAGCAGTAAACATGTCAGGCTAAATAATTCAAAACAATCATTGATTTCTGCCATTGCCTTTAGTTTCAAAAACACAGATTTCTTTACAATTTAAAACTTTGGATATCTTTTCTGCTGAAGATACTGTTGTCCTGAAAAACAAAAAAAAAGTAAGTAAAAAAAACTTACATATACCATTGGAACGGAATTACAGAAAATTTTGGTATACCTTGAAGACTTATATTTTCCCATGCCTACTATAGATGCTCATTTTGCTTTTAATATGCATTATTTGTAGTATCAGTGTTGTTGAGGGTAGTGCATATATATATATATATATATATATATATATATATATATATATATATATATATATATATATATATATATATAGGGTACATGCATATAAAATGACATGGATTGCTGTAAGCATATAGTGTAATGTAATCATGTATTTCATTATACAAATAAATACGGATGCATGATATATCAGTGGCCATATCGTTATTGGCTGATAAATGCTATTTTTAAAGTCATCATTATCGGTCTGATAGCAAAATTAATTAATCTCTGTTCTCCTCTACTTCATTAGGTGATTCTGAAACAAAATGTGAAGATGTTCCTCCCATGGATGAGGAAGATGAAAATGAAGACTCTGAAGAAGGCAGAGGAAGTCTGAGGTCAGTGTCTGACCACTTTCCCCTGGACACTCAGGGCTCTCCGGGAGAAGACAGGAGCAGCCCAGCAGAGGACAGTATGGACAGAATGGAGCCAGGTCAGTGATTTAAAACTAAAAGAATGTGGCAGTCTCATGTGAAATCTAGAATGCAGATAGGAATTGTGTGTGGAGCGCTTCTGAAATCAACATTTAATACAGTATGTTTTCTAGATTTCTGTTTTTCTGCCGTGAGTTGTCTGAGCAAGGTTTCAGGTTTTCACACCAACTCGTATATTATAATCACAACTAATTCACAAAAATAAGCACATATGATGTATATTACGCAACACAACTGTCCAAAAAGTGTGCATTGCATTTAAGAAATCTCATTTACTGAAGTCAGTGTGTCCAGCAGTTTACAACCTATTTATATTTGCATAAAGTATATTTGCATAAAGTGATGTTTTTGGGAATTGGACGCTGACCACTAGAGACTGACAGTACAAGTCAGTTTGGCTGTTGATTAATGTTATCAAAAATTATTTTTGTAATACAGTGCATAGATAAATCATCTACAGTAATGCCTAGAATCTCTCTGGTAAGAAGAGAAGACTCGTGTATATACACATATAATTGTTTTTAAAGCGCAGTGTAGAACTAGGTCCACATGACAAAATAACAACAACAGAGGGATTTTAAACTAAAGTTATATCAGAAAAGCTGAAAATGAGAAACAACACACAAACTGTTTCATTAAGATGCATTTGAATACAATAATAGCCGAATAATAGACTGTAATATTTAGCATTCACCATTTCAGCATATTCTCTTTCTGCTATTCATTAACTGTGCATTTCCATACTCTGTTAAACATCATTTGGGAAATATTTAAAAAAAGAAAAAAATGTAATGGGGGTTTAATAATTCTGTCTTCAACTGTATATCTTAAAAGACATCTTAATTGTTTCTCCTATGTCATTATATTAAAGTTTTAATAATGGAGATCAAATTATCATCGATTTGGTTTCAGTGAAAAATTGTTGAAATCTTTGCTTTGTTAATTAAGGCAGTGGATTGTTCCAGTCGATCAATGTCTATAAAATAATATAACCATTGCTGAATTGACAGGAGAATAGGAGGGATCCAAGAACTGATGATTGTTTTCATTGCAGCTGGTAATCCTGAGAAAAAGGTTAGTTTTTGATGTAAAGTCAGGGTTCTTGAAGAATTAGCATTCAATAGAAAAGGGCAAGGTTCAGGATCAATGGTTATCATTTCATATTTTTTAATCAATCTTTAGTGTTCTAGAAAAGTGAACAAGTTCTAAACAACATTGATGGGATGTCAGAACTTTATCTCATTAAACCAGGAGTAACCAAACTTGTTCCTGGAGGGCCGGTGTCCTGCAGATTTTATCTCCAACCCTAATCAAGCACACCTGAACAAGCTAATCAAGATCATACTAGGTATACTTGAAACACTCAGGCAGGTGTTTGGAAGCAAGTTGGAGCTAGAGATCTGCACGGGACTAAATTTTGAATCCCGCCCGCACCCGCCAGGTTTAAGCCCGAACCCGACTGCTCCCGTTTACATTCAGCATTTGTTGTCCCGCTGCCCGACCCGCCCCATTTTCTACCCGCTGCGCCCGATCCCGCTAAAGAGGGGGAGGGGGGCTCGAAAACCACCCAGCTATACAGAGTTCAGACAGCATATAGCAAGCTGTCTGTATAAACACACACATAAGCACCAAGCACGCACACACACACAGGCAAAGCTCTCTCTCTCTCTTATTCGCACGCGCACACTAACACACACACACACACACACAAGCACCAAGCACACACACAGGCAAAGCTCTCTCTCTCTCTCTCTTATTCGCACGCGCACACTAACACACACACACACACACACACACAAGCACCAAGCACACACACAGGCAAAGCTCTCTCTCTCTCTCTTATTCGCACGTGCGCACACACACACACACACACACACACACACACACACACACACACACACACACACACACACACACACACAGCAACAAATAAGCTAAACACAGCATCGGGCTATTTCATTTACACACATACATACGTGTGCTAGCTCGGGAGTCGGGAGCGATATTGCTAGATGGCCCGCTCCCGTCCCAAATTAAACCCATTATCGACCGCTCCCACGCTTTATTTGGAAATTTATACCCGCGCCGCAGAAATCTGGTCGGAGCTTGTCCCGCGGGAATGCAGACCTCTAGTTGGAGCTAAACCCTGCAGGGACACCGGCCCTCCAGGACCGAGATTGGTGACCCCTGCATTAAACCCTCTTAATATAGTACAAGAATCCTAACCAGACCTCTTTCTATTCTCTAGGTCAGCAATTCACCTCTCACACCTTCATCTGCCCGTTCTGTGGCACTCTATGCCCAGACTCCTCTTTCCTGGAGGAGCACATCAAGCTCATGCACCATGGCGAGAGCTTGCTGCAGTCCACCTCGGCCGGCTCTTCCTCTCAGGCCGAGGGTGACTCGGGTGAGGCAGGACCTGCTAGCAGGGGCGCACGGGAGAAGAAAGTGGAGGGCGGCTATGAGTGCGGTGACTGCGGCCGCCACTTTAACTATTTAGGCAACCTGCGGCAGCACCAGCGCATCCACACTGGCGAGAAGCCCTTTGTTTGTCCAGAGTGTGGAGAGCGTTTTCGGCACACTGCACGACTTAAGAGCCACCGCCTGAGCCACAGCGGAGCACAGAGTCCATTCCCTTGTCCACAGTGTGGAAAGGGATTCCCAGTGCTGTCCGGACTCAAGCGGCACCAGCGTGTGCATACAGGAGAGAGTCCGTACGCTTGTCCTCAGTGCGGCCGCAGGTTTAAAGAGCTAGGCAATTTATACACGCACATGCGCATTCACAGCGGCGCTACGCCCTACACCTGCTACCAGTGTGGGCGGAGCTTCAGACATCTCGGAACCTATAAGAGTCACCGCTGTATGCCAGCCACACAGATGCCAAGTGAACACAGTCCGCCATGGGCACAAGAAGACAAGGTGCAAACTGGGTAATAGCTATGTTCGCTTAAAAACGGTTCATTTTCTGGTTCAGGATCAATTTCTTATTCAAGTTAGTTAAGTGTAACTCGCTGCTTGTTAAATGTATGTTTTTTTTTTTTTTACATTTTGCAATAATATCTTCCAATGTTAAACTTAGAAATGTTTGAGTGTCCATGCGCAGTATTTTAAGTCGACACTAAACATAATTTGATGTGTTTTAATTCTTTTTTAGGTGTTTCAGAATATCTGAACTTTATAGCATATCGCCAAAGGCATAATAACTGAGCAAAATATGCCTTATGAATTTATTTAACTAGCGATCTTTTACTTTTTTGGTAAATAATTGATTTCATTATAATAAACCAGTTTATTTGAGCATTAGCGCTTTCACCCCAAACAAAAAGTACCATAATTGTAATAAAATGATACGTAGACACATTTTATTAACCTATTATTGCCGTCTACACATTTACACTACTGCTCAAAAGGTTTTGAAGGAAGTCTTTTATGCTTTTGTTTGACTGAAAATACAGTGAAAACTGTAAACACATTTTAATGTATTTTAAAATGTAAATTATTCCTGTAATGCAAAGCTCAATGTGGTTCAGCATCATTACTCCAGTCTTCAGTGTCACTTGATCCTTCAGGATTAATAATAATATCATAATAATATGCTGATGTGGTGCTCGAGAAACATTTCTTACTATGTCAGTGTTAAAAACAGTTGTGCTGATTTTTTTTTGTTTAGTTTTGTGAAAGCGGTGATTTATTTGAATAAATGTTTTCTAACAAATATTTTTATTGCATCTTTTCATCAGCATAGTAGGCCTACATCTTTTCTGAATGAATTTGGTAATTATTTGCTATAAATGTTTTGCTACAATTACCATAATTTATTTATGATTTTTGCAGTAAAACTGATTATGCTAACATTAATTGATATATAAAAACCATGGATACTACACACACAAAAATAAAAAAAACAGTTATTTTTCAAGTCTTAGTCAATGTTAATCTAAAAACAAACTTAAACTTACCTCCCTTTGAACAGTAGTGTACTTCAAATAATACATTGGTATGTGTTTAATTGAGTTATTAGTATCCAATAATGAAGTCTGTGAAAATTAAAACAAAACGGTAAGCATTTTTGTATCTTCAAGTGACTTGCTAATAATTGCTAAGTGTTATTAGCATCGCTTAGCAAGTTAACTAATTAACTACTACTTTTTAGTAATTGAGAATTGGTTCAGCAACGTAAAAACACGATATTTATAAGTCAAGCAGTTTAAAATACATTATTGTAACGTAATATATGAAAAACATTACAAACCTTCAGTCACGAGAGGATCTGAAGAGGTGCCAGTTTGAGCGCGAAAACGCTGCCATCGAGTGGAGGATTTCTGTTACTGCATCAGTTTCACTGGAACAGTCGAACTCGTTGTTAATTTTGAAATGTGGTCACATTGTTAATTTTTCCTTTTTTAATGTGTATTTGTTCATATAGATACACCTGTGTGTTGACAAATTTATTTTTGGGTGCGACATACATATAAAAGAAACAATTTTGAGGGGATATACTCCTGAAAGAAACAACAAGACTTTAAAAATCTGAAATTAATGGAAATATAAACAATACATCAGATTTTTTTTTACCCCATTGTGCTCAAGTTAGCCAGGAAAATATGCATTAAATAGCACATAAACATGGTAATTTCTCAGTAATAACTGTAAGGCAACCTGAACTGTAACTAATAAATTCTCTTAGTTCTAGTCTATTTGTAAGCAGTTGTTGACATTATGACATGCTATCAAAGCACATTAAAATAATAGTTGTGTATGAATTGTGATGCGTTTGTGCTTTTAACCTGCCTTACATTGGAATGGAGCTTTTGTATAAGGTAGAAAATGTCTGTAAATGTCTCTGTATGCATGAGATAATGTGACATTTTAAAGAGAACATCTATGGCAGGAGAGACTGAAAGAAGACAGAGTATTTTTCTTTATTAGAGGGTGACAAGTCTCTGTCAGTAATCACGACGCCTTAATAACACACTGCCCGCTCTACTTGTCATTTCTCCAGGAGATTGCAGGGCTATGTGTGAGACTGAAAACACTGAGACGCAACACATTCTTGCACAGATGCCACAAAAGTAGACTTCAAAAAGTGAGTTTTAGAGTATGAAATAGAAGTGAATGCCTTTGTACATACTTGTGTTAATCATACAGTATGAGTGAAATAAATTGTCAATTTAACCTTTGAACTTGCAGTCTCAGAAAAATATATATTGTGACCGATTTACTTGGTTATATTTTATTCCTGACTTCACTTTAAGTCCTTTTTTGTATGGACAATAGGTACACCAAGCATTTACAGTGCCGGTTAAATCGTTTTATTTTGCCACAAACATTTGGAGCACTTAATTTTACCTGTTTGTCAAAAATGTTGCTCAAGACATTTTTAATCATCTAAAATATGAGTACATTTTGTATGTACACATTCATTTATAAAAGCGCATGTCGGAAGTATGTTCTTAAATTTTTTTTAATAAATTTATTTGTTACGCCGAAAGATGTACGATTATTTTACCCATGTATTGACTATATTTTCACAAAAGTTAGTTAAAACAGAACCCTTATGTGTTTTTATAAAATTTAAAAAATCTTTTTAGCTGCAATCACTGCAAATTTTGCAAAAAGGGACATTATTACACCCTTATATTATTTTATGAATTAATTTGACACTATAAGTGCAAAAAAAAAGCATCAAAATGAATATTTTTTCTAATCAGTGACATGCATGGTTATATACAAATCATCACTTTAGATTTATACACTCTCAGAAATAAAGGTACAAGAAATGTCACTGGGGTGGTACCTATTCTGTAGGTACAAATTTGCGCTTAGAGGTCCATATTAATACCACAACGGTACATATTAGTACTTAAAAAGTACAAAAGAGTTCCTCTTAAAATGTTTAGGTACTAATATATACTTTTGAGGTACCAATACGGACCCTTTAAGTACAAATATGTACCTTTTGAAAAGGTATTACCCGAATGACAGCTCGCGTACCTTTATTTCTAAGATTGTAAGGTGCTATCTGACATTTGTCAAAATTAAGTTATTGACATATTGACCTAATATTAATACTTATTAAAAAACAACTCATTTACGTTGTGATTTACATTTTAAAACTTTTTATAAAAAAATAATAAATAAATCAAAAAATGTTTCATCTACAAAAGTGGAACTCTACCTTTGCTCTACAAGGTTCTTTCTGTGATCCAATCAGGATTTCGAATACACACACAAGGACCAATCAAGATCAGCTTTCTTTTTAATTTTGCCAAAAAGACAGAAAGAAACAAAGTCAGAGTCCACTAAATAATGCCGAACCACACAAAATTGAGGAAAAACCTGAAACTGAAGAGATTTGTCTAAATGTGATGATTTGGAAGCATTTTTTTTTTTTTTTACATCAGACACATTGATTACATTGTTGAAAAAAAAACAGTCAATTTAAAAGTAATATATTAAATGTAAAATATTATATTTGTGTATTTAAAGTCGGTGAAACATTTTTTAGTGTTTATTAAATTTTGTTTGCTTAAAGGGCAAATACTTTATTTAAATATGGGCTATATAATTCAATAATTTATAAAAAGCATGCAATTCAATAAACTGAATGAAATATTTAGTACAGCCTTGTATGTTTAATGTGTAATGTGTGTATTTGTTTAATCCTTAAACATTACAGTTTTTCCTTAGTCGCTTTGGTTCATTTCTCAGATCAGAATTGAAATTTGCAAAACAGTAAGTGCATTTGTCAAAACAACACGTACAAATAACTAAACACCATGGATTACCTGCAAAATCCTTAGTTCATCTCACAAAACAAAATTTCTTCATCGATGAACAAGTCCTGCTGTCATTGTGTGGATAAGACTCAAATAACTTAGTCATGCATGTTGTCAGTTTAACAGTGTACTCTGGATGTGTGTTCTGGTGTAAACTATTTTGGCTGTTTGTACTGTAATTTGTTGGTAGATCATGTCATTGTGATACGGAAAGGACAAAACATCACTGCATAGCAAAAACAAAACAAAAGTAGAAATGTGAACATAGGACAACCTCATTTTAGACATTCATTAGAAAAAGTCAAGATTCTCCTGGGAGAAATTTATCAGTTGTCGACAGATTTAGAAAAAAAAGTCGGAAATGTATAGAAAAAGTAATTATGACAAAATATTAGGTCTACTTGTTGAACCATTTTGCATGTAAAGACTTATGCCATGAACAAAGGATTAAATGTGGGGAGTGAGACTATTCACCTGAGACTATTCAACATGACATAAGCAACTAATAATGTAATAAGCCGCAGAGAATTGCACATAATCATTTGCATTAATGAACCAAAGCATTTGCATCTTGTTTAAAGGAACGAGAAACTGCTTTTCTGATGTGCACATGTGACAATGGTGTGAAGACTAAGTTTTGAGAATTTCAGTTTTGATCTGAGAAATGGACCAAAGTGAAAGGTAAAAATGTAACTTTCTCAAACATCAAAATATTGATACAACACCGATTTCTATTTTTTTATTAAATAAATAAGCAGACTGATTGTAGTCTTTGAAAAGTAATGCTTCAATTAATGATCTGCCAGACAGAACCTTATAATTCCAAGTGGAAAATAAATAGTTAGAATGAAAAGGTTCTTTCTACATTTACCCTTTTGATCATTTTCATTTAGAGTATATTTAGGGTCTCTGTCATGTTAATGTGTGAAAGAAAACTGTTACACACGTATTGTGGGCTATATGGAATGCAAAACTTTAAAGCTCAGCATCTCAAAATCATTTAGAACGCAGACAGAACCTCATTATTCCAAGGTGATGAAATATATAATCTTTACAAACAGATGCTGTTTAGCTTGTTTACAAAAAATAGATTTTGTTTTTCAATGAAAAAATCCTCAATCCTCATGCTTTAAAATCCTAAGAATGAAGAATGCTTTGGTTGCACGCACACTGTATCTGATGCTAGTTAATAAAAATGATTTAGTAAAAGCAGAAAAAAACATTCATGATACTTTTCTGATCGTTTTTGACAGATGTTTGTGTCTTTCAAAAACCTATGTGTAACTTTTAAATGGACAGCTTACACAGTGAAAATTCTGTCATTTACTCATTCTCTTTGTTTCTAACCTGTTTGTATTGGAACACACATGCACACACACACACACACACAGAAATAAAGGTACCTTTAGTGTACACTTTTGTACTTTTAAGGTCCTACAAGGTACACATTTGTAATTTTTTAGGTATAAATGTAGACCTTTAAGGTACAAATGTACACCTGATGTGATGAAGAACGCTGGAAAGAAAATCAGACATTGTCTTCAATTGTGTTTTTTGTTCCTATATGGATGTCAAATGCTGCTGGTTTTCAACATTCTTCAGAATATCTCAAACAAAAATAATTTGTGAAACTTTACAACCGCTTGAATGTGATTAAATGATGAAATGTTCAGTTTTGGGGGGGTCAAAATAAGGTAATTTATCCCTTTAAATTAATGCACAATCCTTAAAGGCACAACATAATATGCATTCTGTGTATATCAGGGGTGTCCAACTCCAATCAGACACACCTGGGTTAGCTAATCAAGCTCTCACTAGGCTTTCTAGAAACATCCTTGCAGGTGTGTTGAGGTAAGTTGGAGCTAAAATCTGGAGGACACCAACCCTGCAGGACAGAGTTTGGACACATCAAGTGTATATATAATACTAATATATCAGACACCATAATGGGACATCTAGTTTTTGAGTCATATGCATAACTTAGTAAATATTAATATTTAGGGACAACTTTTATTAGTCTTCAAAAAGAACATTTCACCTTTATAATGAAAAAGAGAGAACATTTCTGGCGAGTGTTTCTGTGCTTAAAACACTAAAAACCTGCACCAGTACATTTCCATTAGTTGCGGCGATAAGCAGTGGCTTACAGCTGCATTACAGACACACTGTCCAACCCCAGGGCCTTTACTGTGGAGCCACAGGGAATTTTTGAACACTTGAAGTGAAGTCAGTCTAATTTTACCCATCCTCATGAGAGCACGTCTGGGCTGTTTGCTTTAGACACAATGGCTAAGCAGATTTATCACTGAACAAATAGTAACAAGACCAAGGAAAACTTCACTTAATATCACACTTAGAGAACCAGAATGAGTTTTTCACACTTCACTGTTATCTTTTTTAATTAAATCAGGGGCAAAAGCAAAGCAAAGTTTCATATTTTTGTTTCTAGAAGTTTTTTTTTAAAGTTATTTATTTATTTTTATCTTATCTGGACGAGCAACAATCCACTTACTGAAAGGATAGTTTACCCTTTGACTTTCATAGTATTTTGTTTCTATTATGGACTCTGGTAGATTCTGTCACCAACCAAGAAATAAATTCATACAGGTTTGGATCAACTTTGAACCACAGGGTAAGGGAAATTAACTGGAAAATAGCAACAATGGTCACATTAAAATTTTTATTCCACCCATCCACCAAACCTTTTCAACAATCTATAAATGAAAGTCATTAATCTATGTTTCAATCAGATCAAATAACTGTTGAATGGTCTTTTATTTATATTGTCTCAATGAGACAAACTTATTTAGTTTTTTCAGTGTAAAAAAAGTTGTCAGCTTAAAATTGTAAGGCATTCACTGCACAGCTTTTTTTTTCTTTTTTAATTGACAACTTTTAACCCAAATTCTGCATTTAACTCGATTTAAGTTGTCAACTCAAAAAGCTCTGCAGCAGGTTGCCTTACAATCTTAAGTTGTCAACTTTTTTATTTTTACAACAGCCGTAATAGAAATTTTAACTCAACTTCAGTAGGTTTACACAATGATACTGGCCTCAAAAAAAAAAAAAAAAAAACTTTGGAAATCCAAGTTATTTCACCAAAAAAAAAAAACGTGTGTGTGTGTTTTGTGTGTGTGTTGTATGTTATAGGTCTGCTTAGTACATTGTCAATATTATTTTAATTTAACCTTTTATAGCTTTTTACAGCTAAAGACAGAATTACTAGCCCCCCTTTAATTTTTTTTCTTTTTTTAAATATTTCCCAAATGATGTTTAACAGAGCAAGGAAATTTTCACAGTATGTCTGATAATATTGTTCCTTTTGAAGAAAATCTTATTTGTTTTATTTCAGCTAGAATAAAAGCAGTTTTTATTTATTATAAAGATTTTAAGGTAAAAATTATTAGCCCCTTTAACTATATATTTTTTCAATAGTC